ATATTTACCCTCCCCTAAAATAGTTTATATCCTACATTAATCATTTAATATCTTTTTAATAAAATCCTTCAACTTTTTCTTGCTCTTTTTTATTTATCTAAGAATTAATTATGTTCATGATAAACATCTTCAATTAATTCTTGATTTTGGTGTAGTTTCAATTCTGTAATAATTCTTTATATAATCTGTACATTTCTTTAACTCCTCTAATAAAACTGTTTTAATTTCATAATATTTAATCACTTAACCTAAGACTTAATTCAATTGATTTGCATTCAAACACAATAGCTCCACCTTAGAGAGAATTGATATTTTTTCTTCAGTTCTTAATTTAATTAAGTAAATAGTCCATTTATTTAATCAACCATCAGAAGTATCTATTATATTAAGCATTCACTTTCTTCCTTAATTTAATGAAAAATTTCAATTAGTTCTTAAAATTCTTTTAATCCTTCATCCATTCTTAAGACATTAATGACAATAAATTCTATTTGCTTTACATAATTAATTAAAACAGGCTAATTATACTTAATCATTTCCTTGAATTGAACATTAAATCCAAAGTTGTCTGACTCATATACATTATTCTTATATCTAATTCAATAAAATTATATTACTAATAAAAAATTTTATGTATGGAATTAAAACTGTGTGATTAAATATCCTATCTTGTAGTAGTTGATTTTAATGTTTTTAGTATTCTATTAGTAAAGTGTAATATTTTTTATTGTTAGTTACTTTGTAGAAAGGAGATGCAAAAATGTTTTATTTAAGATTACTTCATTTATTTCACGTTCATCTTTTCAAATAAACGAAGGCCTTAAAATAACAGAATAACTAAAATTATCATTAAAGCAGTTTAAATAATAATATAAATTCTATTAGACAATCTCACTCATTTTGACCATTAGTCATGTTTTATCTAGTAGGATAAAATAATTTAAATTCTACATCACCATTAAAATACATTTTTTATAAATTATTGTACTAAAATTACTATTTAATAAAAACTATTGTAAAGACAAATTTAAATATTTTTTTTCATCATTTTTTTGAATCTAATGGTTTATAAATACTTAAGAGTTCATTCAAAGGGATTTATTTAGTTGTTGTAAATAATATCCAATTGAGCTACTATCTTATTGATGTATCTGCATTTCCTCTTAATGATTCACTATATAAATTGACATTTATCGAAAAACTTGAACACTAGAAAAGAAATGATAACATGTTAATTAATTTGAGATGATGATCATTGTGATGATTGAATGCAATAGACATAAATTAATTAACTTCAATCATTTTTTTTTCAATCCTCTATTTATGATACAAAATTCTTCACTTTATAATGAAAATGTTAGAAAAGGCTACTCAAAATGCAACAATATAATAAATCATTGTGGGAATTCAGGGTTTGTGTAAGATTATTGTAATTTATTAATGATCAATCTAAAATATCAATGTCATAGCTAAGTAAAAGTAAACATAAATGGAGAATAATTTACATTAATTTTGTTAATCTAATTATTATGATTTTTTTGATTCAAAAGATGAATTGAGAAAAGGATTGCTTTATAAATTAACAAATAAAAATAAATTAAGTATGATAGAATATATGGTTATTCCTAGTATTAATTTGATTATGTAATCCTATATTTAAATTAGCACTTATCATGAACATCTATTTATGAGTCCCATCCTCAAAAGACTTTTTTTAAATTTCTTTGGAATTTAAACTTGATTTAACCAGCATAGTCTTAAAGCATCTAAAGGAAATAATAAATTTCAATTTTATTCAATTAGCTCTCTACCTACCTTTATGATTAAGTCACCTCCAGGCATTAATTCATCTTTGTTTTAATTAAAATGCAAACATAAAATGAATGTTTAATTCTATATTAATTTTTAAGAGCCTTCCCAATTAGATGTACCTGAAAATCTATTTTTGAATCCAACTATTATTTAATTATTTTAACACCTAATACAATCCAATTAATTTTCTTGCTGAATACAGTAAGAAAAACATCCCTATCATGACTATTCAAAACTATATTTTAATCAATCATATCTCCTTATCTAATTTTCAAATTTTGATATGACTATCACAAGATGCAACTATTTGAGAAGCATTGTTATTATAAACTAAAACAAGCAGCTTTTGTCTATAATTAACTTTTTAAATCAATCTGGATTTAACTCGATTTTTATTATCCAGCTAAATTAACTGATAGTTGATTTGATTCTTTCTATTGTTATTGATTATAACAGTTGCAATTTTTTGTATCTTCATTAAAATTTGATGCTTAGAATTAATTCAATTTTGATCAATTGTTTATCTTTGATGATATTTTAACACTGGCAAATACTAAGATGTCTAAGGTCAATGTTTATCATTTATTGTTATTATATTTTCTTAAAATTGTTATTTTCTAATTCTACAAATTGATAGGGTTTAGATAAAAAGTCATTCTCATAAGTTAAGCTATATTATTCACACCCTTCTTTTAGTTTTTTCAACAATTTCGTCAAAAAAATCGAAGTTATCAGCAACTTGATTTATTATTTATAGAAAGTCTTTTTTAAATAACTAAGTTTATTTGAGAAAAGATTCTAATTTATTGTATGATGATTAAAAAAATTATTCCTCAAATTGAATTTTACTTAAGTTTTAGTTTTTTGTAATATTTTTTGGAACCCTAAATTTATTCCCCTCCAAGAGCTTTATCTAGCAAGATCACAAAAAACTTGAAAATCACAATGTTCATTTGAACATTAAAACATCTTTTCATTGTCTATAATTTATGCTTTTTCTTATATTTTATGAATGTCAATAAATTTTATTTAGAGATAATAGAATAAAGGATATAATCTTAAGATGTTTTGTTATTCGTTTTTCTAGTTTAATTAGTAAATACTATTTTGATCAATGAAATTAATGATTAAATTATCGAAATCTCCTATTAATAATCCTAAATGGTAAATTACACGATATATCACTGGTCGCTTTATTAATGGATTAAAAATCAATCAAACAATGTTAAAGGTTGTTAATATATTCTATAGGTAGTTAGTGCTATTTTTGCCAAGAAATTTTCAGCTTTAAGAGTTTTATGAAGATAAATTTGCTTAGATTACATGATTTGAAAGGTTAATGATTCGTAACTTTTAAAATTAATCTTTTGAAAGGTTCGAATTGCTTGTTGAAACCTTCAAAATATCTTTAAATTATGATAAAACATCATTCCATCATAATTGTATTTATTATATTAAATTATTTATTAATCTTATTTCATTTTATTATCCTTTATATTTTCATCAAATTATATTTCTTGTTTATATATCCATAGTGATGTAAGAAAATTTACTTCAATGTTACTTGAACAAAGAGATATTAAACTCTAATTACAGTTTAAAATTTTATGATTTTAATGATGTAGTAAACAGCAATTTTAAATATCAAAGGTTGAAAGAGACAAATTGTAATATTTTTCATTATATACTATTTTTAATTAGAAAAAGCATAATCAAAATTATGTAAACATTTATTATTTATAAAATTTTATGGGTTATTAATAATGTAAAATTACTCCAAACTTATTGCAAATTATTATTAGGTGGTTTTTCAGGAGAAAAGTAAAATAAATATATTTATGGAATAATTTTGATGATTAGATTTTAGTGGGAACTTACATATTGTATTTTGAATAAAACGGTTACTTAAATAGGAACTCCTAAATATTTTAAAATAAATTGAGCAGATTAATAGTGCAAATACATACTCAATAAATCAAACTAAATAAAATTATATTCCTTTAAGAGTAATCCTTTAAAAGAATGTTTGGTTTTTAAAACGGCAGACTTTAATTTTTAGAATCATTTTTTTCTTATAGTTTCGTTTGAAAAATAAAAAACAACAAAATCTTTCTATTAAAATATATGTTAATCAATTTATGAGAGTGGTATATCTAAAAATTTATGATTGAAATAACAAATTGTAAATTGAGAGCAGGATTTTGATCTCTTATGATTTATATATGGAATTAAAATCAATAGAAATAAAAAAATTGCACTTCAACATAGAATTTAACCATGTTCATGTCAATTTTGTAAATCTCTCCTTCAATTCCACTTTATTCATAAAACTCTGGTGCTGAATTCTACTAGGTGCTTGGCTTCAACTATTTATTTAGGATTTGTATAAACTTTCTATTTCCACTGACTTGATCAATAAATTAGACCCAGTTAGATATTTTCAGGGTCATCATAGTAAAGATAAAGCAATTCTTACCCAAATTGATAAAGGTATTTACGATGTAGTACCTCCATCCTATCGATCAATAAATGATATGCTAGTTCTTACGAATTGATGACTTAGGTATCTTTGTTTTGAAAAGAATTTCAAGCCTTTTTTATCAGTCGAATTTGATGACTTTAACTATGGGGCTTATACTTAGAGGCATCTTATTTAGTTTTCTCGCATCAAATTTAAAGATGTTCCTCGGATACAGATATTTTCTCTAGAAAAGTAAATCACAAATTTCCCCTTGTTTATGTTGAGAATTTCCGACTAATAGCATTTTCAAAATGGGGACCGCTCAAGTAGAACATAGTAATTCTCTATTCATAAAAGATGCATTAACTTTCTAAGCTGCAATGAGATAGGACTAGATTCAAACTATTTGAAGTATTTCAACTTTTTTATTATTTTTAATTGTGATTAATTGTGTTAGTTTAAGTAATTAGAGTTTTGTAATCAAATTCTCCAAAATAAATTTTTTGGTTAATGAAGGAAACTCTCTAACATAAAGAATGATGATATGGGAAGAGAAAGTTTCCATAAAAGTTCTATCAATTATGTCTTACTTCGAATCAGTCTAATCTGATTTGTGCACTCTGACTTTTTCGGATGGCTTATAACAACTTCTTTTAAAAAAATATTTAAAATGGTTATCCATCATCTTCTACTGTTGACTTCAATTTTTGGTTTATTATTTAAGGGGCCTTCAGGACTTTATATTTTAGCCCATTGGCATCTCTTTCCTATTAGATTTCGTGTTTTTTCATAAATTCTTTAAATATTCCTTAGGGTCACACTGGGCCTTCTTGCCAAGCCTACAGTCTATCAGCCATTTAACCATTCCTTCTACATTCAGAAATCATAATCCTCGAAATACTTTTACTTGGGAAACTCAGATCTCAGGATTCTTTAAGCAACTTTGGAGATTATTATCCTCAGAGAGTACTCAAAAACTTCTCTATTTTTCTCAGGGATGATCTCTCTTCAAGCAACGTGCTAAATTTATTGACTTGTTGAGAGATTTTGGACAATATCTTTTTGAGATCATATTATTTATTTAAAATAAATAATATTATTTCTAATAAAAAATAAGCCACTAAATATTTTCTCAATAATTTCTAGCAGCAATTTAAATTAATTGTTCATTCTCAACTTAAAAAAGTTGTAATACTCAAAAGGTTAGATAATTTTACAATAATCTTAAGCTATGTAATCTTGGACTTGATTGTTATTTTCTGTAAATTACAAAAATTATATTGATTCCTTTTGTTTCATAATCAGAATCACAATTTACCCATCCTGCACAATTTAAATAGTTTTATGTCCAAAAATGTTCTTGATTATAATTGAGAGTATAAATATTATATTAAAGTATGGTGCTAACAAGAAATCAAATATATTTGGATTATTAAAGCGCAATCCAAAAGATTATTTATTATTTTATAATGCATTTCAACAATTAGGTTTCTCCTATTAGTAAAAAAAATGAAATTCTTTATTTTGGTTAGATCTATCAAAATTTATGACTGAGGGAGAATTAATTAGTATTTTGTCTAGGTGTGCAATCAAATAAATTTTCCCTTTCAATAAAATAATAGTAACTACTGATCCTCTCTTTCATGACATATGATAATTCTTTAAAGAAAGGGATTAAAAGTGAAAAATTAGGATCTAATAAGCATAAAATTATAGAAATTCATGCTATAATGCCTAACTTAGTATATCAACTCAACAATAGATTTGAAAAGTGCCTATTAATTAATTGATGGGATGAATTAAGTTGGTCAAATGAAGACTATTGTTTATATGCTCAAATATGTTCATCTATATTAATTTATCTAAGAACAATTTGTTTTAACAGAATTAATGTTCACGAATTAAGTTGTTATTACTCGTAGTGCTCAATCACATCTGAGTTAAATGAAACATTGTAACAAAAAACATTTCAAAATTATTAAGCAAACTAATTCTCTTCAGGGTGAGATGATTTAAAGGCATAGGACGATTGTTATTGATATTGTCTGAAAACCAGAAAATTTTGAGTATACTTAGCTAGTTTAAAATGATTAAAAACATTTAATATATTGAAATATTAATTTTAATAGAAATAGAGAATGCAAATTAGATGTACTCAAGCTGATCATCAAAATCAATAAATAATAGGGGTTTGCATAGATATTACATGCCAAAATTAGAGACCCTATTGCCATTTTTGCTTGACTCTCCATGTCAATCATCTTCCCATGTTAACCCCATTTAATCTTTTAAATGAATGGATATATCAACGAATCATTAGAGTTAACAATGCTTATAACAATATACAGGAGCTCAAAGTTTCCCTTGATAACCTTATGAATTAGTTTTATCCTTATTTTAACTATAATATTCATTAAATCTCTGAATTAGGACTATCATAGATTGATAGATTAATAGCAGGCTTATGTTAAATTGAAGATTGTGAAAAAGTGCTATTTTTACAACTTAAACCATTAATTGAATAAGTAAAATCGACCATAAACGATATACTAAAAAAAACGAAGAATTAATCAAATTTGAAAGAAAATATTAATAATTAAATTTAACACAATATAAATTAATTGAATTTAGAATACTCAGGACCTTTCTAATAATTAAAACAAAATATCAAGCCTATCAAATTCGAGCTCCTGAAACAATATTCCATTAAATAAGGAGAAAGGTGTAATTCAGTTGCTTTTAATAAAGATTGTTCAATTGTTGCAGTTGGATGTGAAAGCTTAATAAAAATATTTGAATTCAAGCAAGGAATATTGTAGTAGACGCACATCTTAAATTAACATAAACATGGTGTGAGCGCTTTATATTTCATGAAAAAATCCAATTAGTTTATATCTGGAGATTATAAAGGATTTATTTTGATTTGGGCAAGTAATCATGTTAATTAATGGATTTGTTCATAAATAGTTAGACAATAGAATGATATTATAAATTGTCTAATTTTGAATAATAATGAAGATATTATTATATCAAGTAGTAATGACAATACTATTAAGTTTTGGACTAAAAAAAATGAATGGATTTGCTAATAAACAATAACAGATCATAAACGTTGGATTAGCTAATTAAGTTTCAATGAAAAATAAAACTAAATTATATCTTGCGGATGGGAGAGATTAATTTTAGTAATTGAATATTCAGAATAGGTGAAAAAGTGGATGGTAATATAAAAAATCCCAGTTGATTGTTAAGGTTTGCGATTATGTTTTATAAACGATAATCTTTTCACATTTCAGCCTAAGAAAGGCAATTTGATTTATGTTTATGAGATGAATAGCTTAAGTAAATCGTTCACAAAAACTAAACATATTACTGTAAATTAAGGTGATGATACTTATCAATACTTTCCATAATAATATATTAAATCAAAATAGTTTCTTGTGAGTAAGCATGATAAATATATCAATTTAATAAGAAAGACAGATAACGATGAATTTCAAGTTGAGTATTCTATTCAATTTGGTAGTCAAGCATTATTTGGGTAAATGAGTGATGATGGAGAGTATTTGATTACTTGGGATGATTTATCTAAAGAAATATAAATTAGGAGATGCATAGAAGAATGAAGATTTTTTAAATATTATATATATACATGAAGGAATTATTAATAATACCATTCTTTGTTCATTTTTTCATTTATTATAATTGATATTTGATGAATTCTCTTCATCGAATCATCTATTTTGTTAATTTTCATTCATAAATTTTTATACAGTTCCAATGATTCTTTCAGAACTAAAAAATTTTCATTATTAATATTAGGATTTTATATTGATACTTCCCTTACCCAAGAAAAATTAGTCATTTTAATCGAATAATGTTCCTCTTAAAGATGATTAAACTTAAAATCAATTATTTCAAAATTATTAGTAACATTTGAATTATTATGAATTTAACTAAATTAATTGGTTTAACCTAATGCTGCTAAAACGAGATACTTTTTAGTATGGATAAAGCTCAAAGATATTGATTAATGGATAAAAGTCTTTATCTTATAGATAACTATATTGAATTTTCATCTCAAGGTCTAAGGGGATGAGCAAACATTCTATAACTGAGATTTCATTTGCAGGAAGCAATTAATCTTTTTCTGTTAAAAGACCTTTTATGCTCGATATTAATAAAGTAAAAAAGATTATAGCTCAAAGACCAGAAACAAAAATAAAGTAATCTTATTTTAACCATATCATTCGCAAAAATGTTAATTAGCTTAAACGGCAAAAAAGGTTTAGATAAAAAGAGTAAACATCCTTTAACTTATTCGTTCCTGCTTGGTTGATTTTGAGAACAAGATTTTTAAACTCATAAAGATAAAATTCTAACAAACAAAAGAATATTTTTTCAAAGGTCTAAATATCTATGTATTATTCAGATTCTAATTATATTTTAATCACTCCTGAAGAATATGGTAATAAAAGTTTCTAGAATCCATCTCAAACTAGTCTTGTTGAGTCGAAGATTGTGGAATGATTTAATGAATGGATTAAAAACAAAATAGTAAAATGGTCAAAAAATGTAAAAAGCTCTAACAATTTAATTATAGGATATAAATATCCAAAAGTTGATGAAAGTTAAAATCAAATTCAAGAGAAAACCAAATTTATTCCTCATAAATATTACTTTGTTTTTAATGCTATGTATTCAAAATTTATCTTAAATATCATTCTTATACTTAATTTGGTATCGTTTTATTATATTTAAATAGATTCACAAAGTAAAAATAAAAGAAAATATTAGTGAATTTTATTTAGGGATGATTTGCTTTGGGAACTCTTTTCAATAATGGCTTATCGATTATTGATGATAGCTAAGTAAATGAAGTAAGCCTTTTATTGGTTTTGATCATTTGCATGCAATTTACATTTTATGTTAATAAAGGTAAAAATGTGCATATGCTTCTAACTATGTTTTCCCTATTTTCTTTTGAAATCTTATCTCTTATTGATTCATAAGTAGGTATGCATAACTAATGTTGTTGAGATACTTGTGTTTTTGCAAGTAACAAAATACAAATGTTTAGATGATATCTGCAAAATAATATTCCTGAGAGGATCCCAGAAATGAAATAACTTATGTTGTGATGTCATCTTGAAAAACCCAAAGCGTAGTAATAATATTCACCTAGTTTATTTAACACAAAGATTAATAAGAATATCTAATTGCCATAATGTTTGAAATAAATATAAATTATAATAAATATATCATCCATAAACGATTTCCAGTAAATATATATGTCAAAAGAGCGTTTTATCCAAATAAATAGAAAATGGCTTATTAAGAACTCAAACGGATGAAGAAACGACATAATGGCAATTTAAATTTAAGAATTTGTGATAAAAATTTGAGTATTTTAACTTGAATGAGGCTGGCACTAATTAAAATTAAGAAAATTTCAATAAGTAGAAGTTGTCGAAATACATTAACTTTCATTAAATTAATTGAATCCAGACGAAAACAAAGTCTGTAAAGTTGCTTTAAATTAATTGATTCCTCATTAAAGGGATTTGTCTCGATAGAATAATGTAGATAAAGGTTTAACTATTTTCTATTAATTATCCAAAAGAGGTCACCTAAGAAATTAAACTTTTATTAAGTTATGTCATATGCTAAATTAAATGCACTAATATTTTTAAAGGTAAGAATAATTGTAATACAGAAGATTAGTTGCTAAGTATTCATTATATTAATGCCAATTAATCATGTCAAATATTCTAGCAAATAGTTTGCTTTACTTCTTTTAGTTATTTATAATAGATATATTAAATATAAATTATCGGTCATTTATTTCAGTAACTAGATTCTTTTCAATTAAATCTATTTTAAATAATTAAGTGTCCTTTTCTTACTTAAAGTAAAAAGGAGCTCGAACTCTTTTTTGTCTTAATGTACGACTATTTTTTATTAACTGGGATTAATTAATCATATTTAGCTGGGAATTTCTACTTATTAATTTTCATTTTTTGTCTCTCCTGGTTTTAATTCATGGATTTAACAAAAAGAATTTTTTATTATTTAAATTTGAGTATACATGATATACAAGTATCTACTTAGTAGAATGATTATTTATAATTTGAGAAAAAAATTATTTGACAGAATATAAAAGATGATAATTTTTATTGAATCCTTTTTTTAATTCAAATGTGTTGATTGCCTCTTTCTTTTTTTACAACTCTTTAACCCTGCATAAAATGTTTCTTAAATAAAGTTATCTATCTGATTAATTTATCGAATTATATCATTTCCAAAATTTATATGAGTTATACAGAGTTGTTAATTTTGTTTTTCCAACTAATTAATTATAATTTTCTCTTTTTCTTCTTTCTATCAAAAAGATATCAATTAATTGTTAGTAATAAACATATTCTACTTATCTAAAAACAACAATGAAGAAATAATGAATCCTATTAGAAAAAATGAGAGGAAAATAATAAAGATTTGTAGATTAACTAAGTGGTAATATTCATATAAATAAATGATTGAGAAATAAGATCTATAATTAAAGAATCAAAAATCTTTTTTCATTTACCTATGTATTTATTTTTTGAAACCCGAACATCATAGCATATAATATGCTTAATGTACGATTTTTTTAAACCTTTATTTCAATTGAAATTCCCCCAGATTTTCAATCTGGA